TGTAAATCTGGCCAGTGTGGTATGAGTTGTTGTTTCCAGTACAAACACATGTTATCCAGCAATATCTCAGCATTAATCTACTTAAGAGACCTGCTAGAGTTCAGACTTATAAAAAAGACATCTATTAAGATGCAGAGAAAAATATATATGGAGTTTATGTGATAAAGGAGATACTGTAAATACACAGTGACGTTCAAAGAGGATGCTTTTCAAAATGGCAAGTGGGTGTTTCCAGCACTCTCTGTCCAGAGGACAGATGCATCCAGATAAGCAACTTATCTGCACCCATCTGCATTTTTCATTGTTTTTCTTTTACTAGAAAACCATTTGTTCCCATGAAGAAAGCCAATTATACAGTAATAATATTGCTCCCCTGCCTTGCTCCTGCCCCTTTTATTTTAAAGTCCAGTTTCTTTTAAAGTCTCTATGTAAAATAGGTTCTATATTCCCCTTTTAATAGTCCTCTGTAGCCACTCCATTTGGACTTGTCTTTTTGTAGATATTAGTACCTGTAAGTTCCTGTTAGAATTTTTTTGTACTTGCTTTTCCTGTAGTTCCATCACTGAAATGATTCACACACATCACACAACTTCTATGAGGCACAGGTTTTTCCTCTTCCTCAACAATAACTGATTACTCCTCTTTTTAAATCAGAAATGGCTAAGTTACAATTCCTCCTAAGCTCATGAATCCACAGAACTGGTTCAAAAGGAATCCTACCAGCAACCTGAAGAAAAGTCCACATCTGACACAATGTGTATTATTAAGTCCATTTACATTTTGGCTATCTCACCCCTGGCCATGCTGAGATGGATTATGTTTTATCCAATAAATATTCCCTTAAATCCCATTTAAATCACAGAAATTTCATATAAGAATTTTCTGAATTGTGTTAGTTAACCACACACCTACAAAGAGCAGATGCCTTATTACATACATCACAAGCTTAAGGCGGTGAGGTTTGTGAGAAGTGAAACCACACACAACATAAAAAACACAACAGTCCCAGTAACTAATTCCTAGGGGGGTACCCATGGACACAGGGTGCTTCACTGACATATTCAATTCCCAGTGATACCATTAACATCTCTGTTTAAAGAATAGATCACCTAATAGTAAAGCTAACACAACTGTCACTTAGATTTTCCCATCAAAGAGCTTCAAAACCTTATTTTTTATTTTTTTTTATTTCCAGCTCTTCATATAAGTGTTGTTTTTTTTTTTCAATATTTTACTGCATTTCCAATTAAAGGGTCTCATAAAATGGAAGAAAAAAAAGACACAGTGAACACTTTTCCTTATTGCCATTAACACTATTATCATTGTCATTATCTGATAGAAGAGTGAGTTATTTAGTTTTTTACTAAGGCTTCTTGCCTCCATGTACCTGTGGGTGACATAGGACAGGCTTTTATTGGAGGTCCTGAATAAACTTAGAGAAAAATTTTTGGACCAAGGTGTTAGGAACATTTATTCAGTGATTTCTAGGGATCCATCTTTAAATTAACCGTATCTTTAGAGTGCTAAAATTTTACTTTTTCCTTATTGACATAGCTTAATTGCTTCACAATCAGGGAAAAAAAATTAGAAAGAAGAAGTAGAAGAAGAAGAAGAAGAAAAAAGAAAAAAGAAAAGCAGAAAATACTTGCCTGACTTAACAACATTAAGCAGCATGGTGCAGAATATAACTTAACAGTCCAGTGAACTGTCAGTGGCAGAAGTAATTGGAAATTGGTGGGATAGTTCTCTATATGATGGGGATAGGAGTTTTGCATGCCTGTTTTTAATGGGCAAATAGCTCTCAGGGCAGCTTCATATTCTGTCATTAATTTGTAAAGATCCTTTATAACGTAGAAAAGTTAAGATAGCAAAAAAAAAAAATCCAATTACATGTTTAATGACTTGGCATTTGTGGTAATGCTATCTAGCACTAATTCACCTGTTAGAAAACAGTCTATCTTTTAGTCCCTGGGGTTAATAGAGTGCAAAAGCCTAGTCTTATCTGAGGGTGGGAGAAAAGTGAGTAATTTTTTCCTACAAATAGGAAAGAAAAGCAACGACAAAATTGATTATAAATTTCAACTTTCTTTTTGAGCTTAGCACTTCTATGTATTATTAAACACTTTTTAAAAGAAAATAACAAGTTTCTAATTGCTGGTGTCTGACTTCCCCAGGATTTTGCAGAGGCATGTGGGACTTTTTTCCCTTTGTAGCCAACATGAGCACCCACTGGAGTGAGGCTTATACCCATATCATGTCACAGGACTGCAGAGGTGATGCTGCAGAGACTGCCCTTGAGATCAAGACTTTTTTCACTTCAACATAGAAATGGGATCCATAATAAATATGGTTTGATCACTCAATAGATGGATGGAAGGATTTATCCTGGCCTCAGCTGCATGCTCATAACTACACTGAAATCAGCACTGGACGCTTAAATGGGACTAAGAGCAGAATTTGTTCCACAGCAACAAAGAAATACAGCTTATGCAAACATACATATTCATTTTCATGTCTCCCTTTATCAGTCACCCTGAAATAAAACATTAGAGAAGGCATTTGTAATGAACACTCCCATTTTAAAACATTTAAATAGTCTGCAGTATAAATTGCATATTCTAACTGACTGCTCTGGTGTGAATTTCTGAGTCCACTGAAAGGAAGAGAGGCAGCATTTGCTGTGTTTATGCAACAACTTCTTTGCTTAACACCAGATTTATCTGTGTCACAGCTAAACCAGGATTAGCAGCAGAAATGCTAAATTACGTTACAATTCATACACTTTGGTTGGCCCATGCAAAACATGGAAACACTGTAATGTCAAACAAACAAACAAACAAACCAACCAACCAACAAACAAACAAAAAATGTAACTGTCATCAGTCCAGTGTCAAAAACTAGGAGTTTAAAGATAAGTCCTGTCTAATGCTGGAACACAAGCCCTAAAATCAAGATTTATCACCCCTGTTCCTAGCTCAACTTGTGGTTCTTCTGGCTGGAGATCACTAATGAAGGCTGAATACTGAGCATCCAGACTAATGAAACCCAGTGAATTCTGTAAACTTGGGTTTTCTGAGCAGGGACTCCCACCTGAACACTTTAGGGTCAGTTATGGTTTTCTCCTTAATGTTGTTTGGGGAAGAAAACATTGAGCTTCAAATTGCCAATTCCTGAGCACCTTTCCTATGTGGCACAGAAGATACAAAATCCAACATACCCTAAAAATTTTGTACATTTGGTGCTTGGAGAATTAATACTTCCAGTGTGCCCTTCAGTGATGTGGAGGTTACAGAGAAAATACATATATCTCAGCTAAAGGAAGGGATTCACCCCATTTAATATTAGCTTATAAACCCAGCATTTAATACAAATAGGTCATCTAGGCTCCCTTTAAAAGCACTCTGAGAAAAACAGGACTGCAAATGGTGGAACATCCTGACCTCACGCAATTACTGTAGGTAAGAGTGATTGTACTGCTCTTGAATGTAACTGTCTTGTTCCCTTGACTCTAATCCAATGCGAGACTAGCCTAGACTAGGGAAAGTTATGTATCCCAACCAAACAATTTAATATTAAAGAAAATAATTATCTTTTGTTTATGGCCTGAATCTTTATTTGGATTTGGATGCTATGAAAATGGGAATGGATGGATGGATGGATGGATGGACGGACTTAATTTTTCTTTACTGGATGGTCAAAACCTATGTTTGTGGCTTCTATGTTTATTATTTTTTTAAAGTTGTTATTATTATTCTTATTTGGAACAACCTAAAAGAGATGTTCAGCTACTTTGGGAAAGCATGGGGTACAGAGTCAAACTTGTTTTCCCAAAGTTAGTTGAAAGTGATGACCCCTCATTCCCATGGAAAAGAACATTTCCTTTACTAGCTGACAAGTTTTTCAAGGTGTTTCTGCACATCCTGTTGGAAAAGCAAATTGTCATCAAAATTGAAAATTCAGAATATGGTTTGTTGTTTTTTTGGGTTTTTTTTCCCTGAAGGTCTTAGGGCTCTTGAAATGCTAAGTAGAAAACTGAGCTCAATGCATATGGAGGAGATTTTCATATTTTAAAAGTCAGACAGAGTGTCAGCCGGCAGACGCAGCAACTCCAAGAATCTTCAAAAAGGCAGAAGCAGAAAAGTTTACTGCTTGTTTGGCGGACACATTATTTTAGCCTGTGTTCTGCAGATTGAGAGGCAGATTGCCTAGGGTCAGAGGGTGACCCTGCCCTGCAGCATGAGTATTATTCCTTCTTTTTTTTTTTAAGTGCAAATTTACATTTAGCTGCAACCTGCCTCCTTAATGATGGATCAGCCTTTTGTGCAGGTATAAGCTCTGATTGATGGGGCACAGGGATAGGAGAGGAGAACGGAGAAAACAAGTTTATAAATTTGACATAAGATTTGAATCGCAGCAGGAACTTTGCCAGTCTCTCCTTAGGCATAAAATTGGACTGGCTGGAGATATGTACTGCATGTGTGATGTTTCAGCTCTCATTGCTTTCATTATATCTTTATTTACTCAGTTAACAGACTACTGAACTTGCAAAATCTAGCAGACTATTTTGGGGTTTTTTAAAACAAATTTTATGATGGGGGCAAGGGAGAAAGAACTGAAAAACCTGAAATAACTACATGGTAGGACTTGATCTGAAGTAATTGAATACAATTTACTTGATTTCACTGAAGTTAACTTACACCGATTTGCTCTAGGCGATGATCTGATTCAGTATTCTGGTTTGGTTTTACTTTTTTTTTTTTTTTTTTTTTTTTTTTTTTGAGGGGGTGGGTTTTGTTTTTGGAGAATTAACATTTCCACTTTTTTACTAATTTAACACTTTGTGGGGGGCTGGATTGCAGGTTTTTGTTTTGGTTTGATGTTTTTCCTTCCGACTTGGCTGTGTTGACATTTCATGTTTCCTATTATTATTATTATTTCTTCCCCTTCTTTGTTTTGGGAATTATATGGCTTATTGACTAAACAGCATTAGAAAACTAAAGTTAATGGGCCAAACTCTTCCCTAGTGCAACTTTATTGAGTTCAAGTTATACAGAGAGGAATGAGTGCGGGGACTCCTCCAAAGAGTTATTTCAGAAGTTTATTCTATAATGAAAGGGAAGTCCACAGCTTTGTTGTCATTTCAATGGAAATTAAATGTTTAAAGAAGTCCAGTGCTTCATATCCAGCTGATGTGATGAAACCTGAGGTTACGGAGAACAAAAAGGCAAAATCATACATTGTTTTAATAGATTAGAACAAATATTTCACTATTATCAAGAATTCACTTAATAACACTCTTGTTCATGTCTACCTATTCCCTAGAGAACTCAAGTTTTAAATGTAACTTATGTGCCCATCTTCTCCATCATTTCATCGTTTGCGTAGGGATTTTAAAAAACGTGGAGATGTGGTACATGGGGACATATGTTAGAAGAAAGTTTGGCAGTGCTGGGCTAATGGTTGGACTTGATAAACTCAAGTCTTTTCCAAACTGAATGATTCCATGATTTTTAAATTCCATCAATGGCAACTGAGGGCAGAGCTGAATGACTGGTATGACAAATGTCCCAGGAGCAAGGTAAGACTGTGAGGATCGGGCTCCTAAAATTTCTAAAAATGCACTAATATGGATTGGGCTCAGAGAAAACAGACCCCCTATGGCTGTGTCAAAATTAAAAAAGGTTGTTTCTTACGAGGAGTTAGCACACCCATCTCGTGGTCTCAGTGGAGCTTGTAAAGTGGAACTTGCTGAGACAGCCTGAACAGTTGGTGCTGGTAACAGCAAAGGATGGGACTGAGTGGGTGAAGAGATAAGAGATGCTGGCCAGTCCTGGGTTCATTTGAGCACAAGGAATGATTTTGGCCAGAAGGCTGTGGAAACAAGAACTTAGAGAGTTTGTTTACTCATAGGGTCACTTAATAAGAATAGGCTAGGCATACACTAGATGGTACTGCTTAGCCACGAAAAAAGAGTAAAACATAAATTTGGGTGGAAAGTGATAGGTAAAATTCTACAAATCAAAGCAATTGGTGTTCTGTGTCTTCAGTTAGAACTTCATGCATTGCTTTGTTTTTTCTGGATCAGGATCCATGGGGTGACCTTTGTCAGAGCCTCAGCTCTCTGCAGAGTATATACTGCTTGTGAACACTCTTAGATCTTGGATATCTACTCCCTGCTCTCTATCATCTACATCTGCATTTTCCACATTACAAGGATAGCTTTGTTCCAAGGCTAGAACTGTGAGAAGAATCACTTTTTGACCCAAGTGATAAAACAAGGTTTGAATTTTACTCAAAAATGGGGAAGGGGAAGGGAAAGGGGAGGGGGAAGGGAAAGGGGAAGGGTGTTCTTTTCTAAAACTTCATTCTTAACCCAGTAGGCAGTTTACAATAACCATGTGCTAACCACCCCTTCACTGTGGGTCTGAAAACCTGACACCACTGTGATATTTGAATAGCAGAAGCTCTCTCTGCTGTACATCCAGCATGTAAAGTCTTTCTTAGGATATTACTAGAGGGAAAAAAACCAGTTGCCAAGTCAGTTTTGTTCCAGTTCATTAGTGAGTGAAAGTCATTATCGTCTGACAGATGCACTAAGGGTTATGTACAGTTCCTAGTTGTCTCAGTCCAGTTTTTAGTGGACAGATGTCCACATTCAGGAAAGATAAAATGAGTCTGACAACACAGCTACTTTCAAGAACTTTGCTGCAAGTCTTTATAAACAATGTGGGACATGGCTGGACATCTGATGAGTCCTCTTCCCTATCGTGGAAGTCCCACCAGCAGAAAGTAGATGGTGTATGAGGAATCAGTGTTGTCTTCTGGATGATGGTGTATATTTCTTGGTGGGATTGAGAGGTTACATATTTCTCTGTGGCTATCAGTTGAATGTGAACTGCAAGTGACACTTCTGCTTCAAAACAAGAAAAATAGCTCCATTCCCTCCAAAGAGAATTGTGTCAGCAGCAGACCTCTCTATTGCTCCCACTGTTTTCTCAATGCTTCAACTCATCAGACTTCTGGGAGCTGACAAACTATCAGACTGAAAAACAGAAGGGGGGTAGGGGAGATTCTAATGCATGAGCAGAGCAATGAAGAGTGCAATCTCATGCTTGCTGTATTTTTTCCAATGACAAGAATGGCATAATATCAGCAAGTAACTAAATCTAGGTGTAGCTAGCCAGTTACTTATAATCTTCATGAGAAAAAAAAACAAAAAAAAATATTTGTGTACTTTTTTCCAAAGAAATTGTAAACATTTACATATTCTGAATTAAATTGGTGTGTCATGATCATGTTTTTAGGCTATCCTGGGGCAGAAAGCCAGGACATTTCCCACTGCATCCACCAGAAAGAAGGGAAGACTTGCTGTGAGGGCAGGTCCAGACTGGGGCATCAGGCACCTCTGTGGGGATGAAACATTAGTCTAAGAGCAGGAATTGCCTCAGTGGAATCCATGGCTGGGTCAGGAAGGGCTGTGGTCTTCAGGAAGAGCAGGAGTCTGATTTCTATGGCACTGCTTGGACACAGAACCCTCTGAAAAGGGGTTGTGGGCCAAAAGCAGGAGGACTGGCCACCAGCATGTCCTAATAGTCCCTCATATCACTCTCAGTTTCACCCAAAGCCTACAAGAGACAGATGCCCCCTCTTCTTTTGACACAACCAAGGTCAGAATTTGCTTCACAATGAACTTGGAGCATTGTGTTCTGCTTCCAGAACGTCTTCCTGCTATCAAAATATATGTAGTTGCATACTAGTTCACTCTTAGGGTCCCATGTGGCATATATTTATTAGTCTACTTAAACAAGAAACCCAAGCAGAGCTGCCAGGAGAGTTTGCTTAAGGGTGTGCTGCAGATCAGAAACAGGAGAACTGATGTGCCTCATTTGAAATGCACCACTTGGAATAATCCTGCTCTACTTCAAGAGGCCAAAACCAGAAACATGCAACCACCACAAAGTGCTCTCATGATGTGCCCTAGCTGTCACATCACAAAAACCTTCCCACAGGCAGTAAAACAACCCTCATATTGTACGATCATAGAACCACAGAATGGTTTGGATTGGAAGGTATCTTAAGGATACTCTATTTCCAACCTCCTCCTCCTCCTCCTCCTCTGCCGTGGCCAGGGACACCTTCCACTACACCAGGTTGCTTCAAGCTCCATCCAACCTGGCCTTAAACATTTCCAGGGATAGGGCAACCAAAACTTCTCTTGAAAACCTGAGCCAGCATAGTCTGCTACAACATCAAAGTGCTACAGGCACTTTGAGCTGGAAAAAACATGAATAATCATATATTTTGGCCACAGGGATGGTCACTGAAGCTTAGAAGAGAGAAGAGATGGACCAGCTGGGACATGGATGGACCACTCTGCAGGGGTCAGATCAAGAGAGGGTAGCTGTGAGTCATGAACTACCTGACTCATGCGCAACAGCCCATGGTGGTTGCATTTATCATTTAGTATGGATGTTTCCACAAATGTCAAGTGCCCTGAAGGACACATAGAAGTGGCAGCAGAAAGTAAAACAGGAAAATGTCCTTATCTAGCTCTGCATCTGCTCTACAGGGAAAGGCCTCTTTCAGCTTTACTGGCTGAAGGTGTGTGGCAGTATAGACACCCATCACTTCCAGCCAGCACTACGTCAGAGCACAGGCAATGGCCCTGGACGTTCATCACTGCCTCTTCCAAGTGCTTCAGGACTCTTCAAGATGAAAAATACTCTTCCCATCTGCCTCTGTGGCAGTATCTGAGAACCTAGAAATGCAAGGTTATTAATATGAGAAAGTATTATAAAGTGGCATTTCTGATTGAAATTTCTTCCATTTTATTGTCAAATATGTTTATCCTAAACATGTTTCTCTTCTTTTGCCTCACCTAATTTACTTATCTAGTCAGACACGTTGGAATCTGAAAAAGTTGGGCGATAAACCACTTTAAAAACTTTTTAAAATGTCTTTTTCAGCGGTCTTCTGTAATTTTTTTCTCTTAGCTTTTTTCTTTTCTTTTCTTTTTGTTTTTTAAACAAAGCTTCAATAACTACCTATAAATGTCTGTAGGTTGCAATAGACTGTGAGATTATTAAACTGATACCACTAATTTCATTCACTGAGAAAGACTCTAATTTTTCCTGGCAAAAAATTCATACCAGCACAGGTACACACATATGAATGTACTTATTGTTTGTGCACAGAGACATACATCGTTTAGCTTTAAAACAGTGAGATTTGTCTTTTAATTTTTTGCAGGTTTGTGTTTTACTTTTTCTTCACACCCAAGGAGAAAAATACGTTTGTTTATTCCTGTTATGGAAAGCAGAGATTTTACATTGAAAAAACGAGGATGGAACCAAAGTTAAAAACAAACAGAAGTCATAAAAAATTATGAGGCAGGCAACAAATGAATAGCAGCTGCCAGGACAGTTGAAACTGTAAATGTGACCAGAAAGTGAAGAATTAAGATAGAAAAGATGGATAAAAGACCACCTTTACCATGCAGAGCAGTTTGTTAATTTAATTACGTTTTGCACTCATGATACATGCCAAAGTGGTAGTCCTGGAAAGCAAAGATTTTGTTTTAGTGATATAGATTCTGGGTTATGGACTTCTCTAGTCTCCTATTTGTTTTGGATAGAAAGGAAAGAAAGCCCTTCTGATCACAGCACCTGAGGGGAGAAAAAAGTGTTGAGGTGAAAAAGTCCTTCTCTTAAAAGAAGTCTTGCTTCCCTCCTTTGGCTTCTTCCCTCATAGTAGCTGACTTGCAGAAGGGAGCAGACTAGCTGAGACGTCCTTCTACATCCACCTGTTAACCCTATCCTGCTGCGAAAATGGAAGAGAAAACATTGTTTACATGTGACAATTATATTTGGTTTTTAGTCTGAACTGCGCTGTGAGAGAGCACCTGTCTGCTGTCCAACAATGTTCTAAGTATAGTGAGTTAGAGCAAAATAGCACTTTTTATACTTTTGTTCAGCAGCCCTGAGAAGTTCAGCAGTTATAGTGGATCATAAAACACTAAACTTCTGTTTGTCAGTAGCTTTGTCTACAAAAAGACATTAAGTGTAGGACAATAATGACTATACACACATAGCATCTGTATTTTTGTCACTTAAAGGTGCTCACAATCTGTATTAATTCCCAAAGCACTAAATTTTTTTTATTTTTTTATTTTTTTAAATCACATGTTAATTTACAATATTTTAGTTGTGGATAGTTTCTGGCTGCCTGTGCCAGATGTAGAATCATTGTGTGACCCCCCCCGCCCTGGTGAAGACCCTTTCCTTGAGCTGAGATTATTTAACTTGTATGAAAACTAGTTAATTAATCATAATGGAGGGGCTTTGCCAGAAAAATTATTAACTCTGACCTTCTGTGTATAAATAATGGTGTAGTTGGATGCAGCCCTGAGCTCTGGGGGGAGCCCTGGTCTAGTGGACGGGGCCCTGGCCTAGAGAAGGTGTCCCTGGCCATAGCAGGAGGTTGGAAATAAAGGAGCTTTATTTCCAAGCCAAGCTACTCTATGAGGGTTCAAAGGAAGCCACGAGGACGGTGAAAAGTCTGGAGTTGAAGCCTTAAGACTAGTAGCAGAGGTCACTTGGTTTGTTAGGCCCGGAGGAGACTGAGGGGACACCTCATTGTGGTATTCAAGATTTTCATGGGGTGAAGAGGAGGGGCAGGTAAGGATCACTTCACTCTTATATCCTGTAGCAACCAGCAATAGGAGCTGAAGGAGTGGTGTAAAACTGAGTCAGGAGAGATTTAGGCTGGATTTCAGGAAAAGGTTTTCTTCCCTAGAGGGTGGCTGTGCACTGGAACGGGCTGCCCAGGGATGTCAGCATCAAGACTGTCCGAGTTTAAGAAGCCCCTGAGCAATGCTCTCAGACACATGATTCCTACCCTGTAGTTGGGGCATCCTGTGCAGGGCCAGGAGCTCGATGATCCTTGTGGGTCCCTTCAAACTCAGGGTACTCTGTGATTCTGTGAGGCTGTTGCCAGGCTCCATCCCTCTCCGCCCTCAGGCGGGAGAGGAGCCATCCCTCACGCAGCCGGACCCGCAGCCACCTCGCTGCCGCGCGCGACCACGGCCACATCACACCCCGCGCGCCCACGCTGCTGG